ATTAGAATTTAGAACACTGAACATTGTGTTAAAAAAATTAATAAATTGTGTTTTTATTTGTGTTAAAAAAAATTTCAATGTTTCACGTTTTTGTGAAATATTTCACAACTTAGTGAAATATTTCAAAATGAAATATTTCATTTGAAATATTTCATGAAATATTTCTCATACTTTAAACACTACTAATGAGTCATATTAGTTATCAAAAGTCTTGAAAAGTGGTTTGATTATATTTATAAATTAATCTTTAGTTAATAACATATTTTGACTTTTGAATTATGGATATACATAAATTGAATTTAACACAGTAAGTATTTTATTTATAATTTAATTATTAATTGTGGGCGGCGACAATCCAAAACGTACTATTTCCATTTTACACTTTTTTGAGAAATCACGATTTTCTATTTTTCCACGATTTTGGAAATAGTACGTTATGTATTTAATTCAATTATATTCCCTATCTTCATAATATGGGAAATAGTACATTTTGGCCTACTTTGGAAATAGTACGTTTTGTACAATTCGAAGAATTGGTATGTTTTGGGTCAATTTGTCAATAAACAAACTATTTCACACGGACAATACTACTTTTTGACGTAATTTTGGAAATAGTGCATTTAGACTGTGGCTTTGGAAATAGTGCGTTTTGCGTCATTTATGAGTTTCAGATTGATTTTAACAAGGGAAATAGTACGTTTTGTCACAATTTGATTGCACTATTCGATTCCCTGCCTTAATTTCTATAAGAATCAATATATAACTCAATTTCTTCAATTTTGGCAATAGTACGTTTGGATTGTCGCCCCACAATTATTATAGTTACAATTAAAATGCTAAATGATAATTTTTATTATCATAACAATTACATTAATAATATTAATATTTAATTCCAAAAATGTGATACTTTCTGATTCATTATGACATTATGTAAATGTACAGGTTAGGTATACTGTTCTGTATTTGTTATTTCATTTATTTATTTATTTGTATGACTTTACAATGAGGCATGAGCGGTTTATTTGTTATTTCATTAACAAATAATAATAATTTATAGGTACATAAATATAATAAAAAAATACATGGCATATTTAATCTGTGTTAGGCTGTACCATACTATAATATAATATAGCTAGGTATAGATATAATGCTGTGGACTGTATGGCAACAGTAAATAGAATAATAAAATAAAAACTATATTGTTTGATCAGATTATTTTAAAACCATTTTAAAAAAAGTTGTATCTTTTTTTATATCTAGATAAAAAAGTATTTATCTTTATCTTAATCTAGATAAATATGAGTTAAGTTATCTTTTATCTATATCTAGATACATTTGGGTTGCATTATCTTTATCTATATCTAGATACAAAAATACTTATCTAATCCGAACACTGCTAATGACTAATTTGTTTGGGTTTATTACAGATTTTCTTTATAAAAATAACAATGACGAAAGTGAAGTGACCAATAATACAAAATTAATATGTATTAATGTATTATCATTGATTGTTATACAATATACAAAATACTAGTATTAGACATTAGTAGTAGGTACTTATAATCAATGGCATTATTAGTTATTATTAGCCATTTGGCATTGCTATATTCGTCGTCACTCAACAGCCCTACAGGGTACAAATAAATAACTTGCAGGTTTCAACATGCGGAAATGCGTCGAATCAGTATTTTATAATTTCGTAGTAGGTAATTAATTCTGTTGGATTGAACCGAGACCACACACTATCTGGGTGTTTTTTTTATAAAAATAATCGACGTATATAAATATTATATTGCTTTGATTTTATTTGATATCTATATTTATGTACCAAATATTTTGTAATTTTTTATCCAAAGATTTCTCATAAGAGTATACGATTGTACGAGGCTATTACAATTTACTATTATTTCATTAATAATATTTGTAATACAATAATTTAATAGAAACAAATTTTTGATGCATTTAGCATTAACTAATATTTTGTAAATTAATTTAAATTAAAAAAAAATCTAACAAAATACACCAGGCCATAGCAATACTATGGCCTGGTGTATTTTGTTTATTGGTCCAGGCCATCTGGAAAATTCCCATTTCCAGACCGGCCATTCCCCCCCTGTCATCAGCATTGAATCAGATATTGGTTCTCTTGACTGTGCCTGTTGAGACCCAAACGCGATTCATCTCGCCACCGACCTTCACACAAACACACACACACACACACACGCACACTCACACTCACACCCATATTATGTGTTCATTTTTATATTGCATTTTCGTAATTTAAGTTATGTAATATGTAGATTACGCGCGATTGGACGCCGACGAGCCGGTCCGCGTATCATTTTTTCACGACAAAACCAGTCCGTTCTGTAGTGCCTACACGGAATGTGCAGCTTTATTATGCTATTGTACGCGAATCACCGTAAGCTTTGTTTTTTATTGTTTTTTAGGACCGAATCTCCACAATTTTATAGTATTATTATTTGTAAGGCACGAATTGCCACTTATTTTGTCATTTTTGTGTTATAAAGCGCTAATCGACGTAAAGAAAATTATATTGTTCTTTGTCTTAGTGCAAATCGCCAGAGTATTATATTATACTGTGTATAAATTATTGTTATGACATTGTTGTGCATTATTATAACTATTCCCGAAACCCATAGGATAGGTAGCAGCTGGCCAGCCGATCACCGTCATATCTGTGAGTTATTTATTATATTTATATTAATATTATTGTACCTATTATTGCTTCGGTGCCGTTCATTATTATAATTTATACCTTGTACTGCTGTGGCATTATTATTTTATATTGTGTATTATTAAAATTATTAAAATTGTGAACACACATATTACAAAATTCTGCATTGTATTGGTTTATCAATTAGAGTTACCCCTTGTGATTATTTTAAGTAGGTACACATAACATGTATACACACATCGGATACACATCACACTCATACCGCGTACCCCGACCGTTGAGTTACTCACACCTTACACCCTACACACCCTACACACCATACATAGTGTACACGAGTCAGTAGGTGATTGTTGAGCGCATACAAAGTATTTCGGTACCGGGCTCACGTATTATTATTGTATGTTATCATTTTGTGACCTCGAAGTGATCGATTAACTTAAGGTGGGTTTCCACTAGATAGGTACGTGTGCGTGTACGTGCATAAAAATACTTTTCTGTGATTGGTTGGTATACATGGTAAGCTTTTGGTATACCAGAATGTTCTACGTTCTTACCACAGGCTTGACCATGATACCATGAAGTTGAATCCAGTTCAACTTTTTACGTGTACACGGCTCTATATTGATAACGATTTTGATAACATAAGAATATACGAGGTAACTAATATGTTACCAATGCTAACCGATCAACCGATGGGAAACGTTTATGCGGCCGTTCATAGCGAACGTATCCGGTCAATATATGCATGTAAACGTACACGTATGTAGTGGAAACCCACCTTTACTTAATATCATTATCATTATTTAATTACCGTATCACAGAACAAACAGAAGGGAATCTTAAGGCTCATCGAAAAACCGTCCGACATTTCTAGATTTTAAACGTGCTGCCACGTACCGAGAAATTCCCTTTTTTTAAAGTTTTCTGTGGTTTGTGGCTACACTGTTAATCTGCAATTCCACTCATTATTGTTATTTTAACTTTATTATTTTTGTAATTTTTTAGTCAAGTACTAACGTACTTTCAAAATTAATATTCCTTATTTGGTAACTATCAAAGTCTGAGTTTTCCTATTAAATAAATTACAATGTTAACTTGTTATGCGTGTTGATTGTTATATTTGTTTTATTTTTTGTAATAATTGTTTACGATGATGTAATTTGTTTTTGATACTTTACAAAAAAATAAAAAAATAAATTGAATTTATACGGTGTAATAATTTAAATTTTACAGCTCTTAGAGAGTATTAAATGTGGATTTGAGGTATTCCTACTGACTATAGGTACAGGTTATGTAATAATGTCACATACTTCTACCAGTATATTTATTTAGAATAAATCTTCAATTTGTCTTAGCAATTGCGTGTACTAATTACACAAGTTCCAAAAAAATAAAATAAAATTAGTACTGCTTAGATTATTTAAAACCAGCGTACGTAATTTGTTTTGTAATCTTCTGTGTACCTATGCATTTTTGTTCATTCATCAACTAAATATAGTGATAAATAAAATATGTATAGTTTTTGTTTTTCTTAGATTCTGTACTTAGATAAATGGTAAAAATGCAATTTCTTAAAAAAAAATCGATTTGATTGTTTGAAATTTGAACGAATAAACAGTGCTGCACAATATAAAGAAAAAAGAGAAATTCAAGGTACGTGGCAGCACGTTTAAATTTTAGAAATGTCGGACGTGGTTTTATCATATCCCATAAGAGCCTATGTTAAATGAAATAAGATTCCTTTCTGTTTGTTCTGTGACCGTATACTGATCTATGTACATTTTTCTTGACCTATATTTATTATATAATTATAATCGGTTAATGACCATAGGTACACCTGAATTAAATCGTCCTTAATTGATATACACACGTCTAAATAATAAACCTACATATTGTTGTCGATAAATATTACGAGTTGCTTGTGTAAATTTAATTTATTTATTATAATGACACTTGATGAGAATAAGAAAAACATCTTGGGTAATTTGAAGAAACGAAGGGGAGCAGTAAAGGCAACTCTTACCAGAGTTCAAACCTTCATTATCAAAATTTAATCCAAAGGATGATGCCATCGCATTATTAGAACTTCGTTAGGAAGAGTTACCACAGACATTTTATTTATATTAGAAGGCAAATACCGTAACATACTAATCAACAAATAGACAATATTAGGCTCAAATGAATTTTGTTTATGTAATCATAATTCATACTATGTATTATAATAAATTAATAACAATAAAGTTGAGAAAAAACCTTATGATAAAATGTATTTAATAAAAATCAAAAGTTATTTTTTTTACAATTAAAACATTTTTGACATTACATTTGAGCTAGCTTTTAGGTAATCAATAATATTTTCAATTTTAATTTCAACAAGTAATTGTTTTTCAATACTCATAATTAAAAGTTCTTCTAAATTATCTTGAGTCATATTAGCCCTAAGTCTGGTTTTAACAAGTTTTAGTTTCTTGAAAGTTCTCTCACAGTTTACCTCGGTAACTGACCAATTAAGAAAAAATTTATATGAAGCACATAATTGAGTATACGCTGAGACATGCATGTTTAAATTGTATAACAGTTTATATACATGTTAGGCAATTGTTAGTGTCATGTATGATGCTTTTGTTATCACCTTAAATCAAACATAAATTTTAAAAAAAGGTGGGCAAGTGGGTGTCGCTCTGCTGTACAGTAGGTTACAAGTGGGTCACTGTATAATGGATGATATTAAATTTGAATTCAACGATATAATATCATTGTATAAGAAAAACGATTCTGAGCGGAGACGGTATGTCAGTCTATGTATAAGACATATTATATATGTAGCGAGCTGTGACTATTTTGCCATATGGTTTAAACACATTATAATGTATACGTAATCATATAATATTCGCACCGCGTATATATAAATATTATACTCGAGCGCTTCTTCGAATAGTAATAATATAATATCAATAATAATAATATCGAGCGCGTGACCATGAGCGGCGTGCGACAATAGATATATGACTACGTATATGGATAATCCTAAAATAATATAGTTAGATTTGTGCTGTTATTAATTATTTATTAATTATTGTTGAATAACACCACAAATGTGCTATATAGATATATGTGGACTTCCGGCGCGTGCAAGCGTGTGAAAATCACAATAGGCTTAACCGCAAGACCATGTATGGTCTTAGAAAGTATGGAAGTGGCAAGGGACAGAGATCCATCGAGGAGAGCTGATGGACAAGCGTTCATCAGACGAACAACCAACCTCAACTTCAACAGTCACACTAAATACTCATAGTCACAACTCGCTTTTAGTTAATTATTTGGACTTAGAATAATTTCTATAAAACTGTTTTATATAATAAACACAATAAATACTATCAAAAGAGGTTTTGTTCAATTATTGCTTCCAAATCAACAAGTAACGCTGTAGGGCACGTTACAAATTGGCGCTGTGGACAGGGTGTCTCAAAAGATACTTAGAAGAAACCCGAAGAACACTTTAAAAATTTTTTCGAAATTTTTGAAAAATTTTCATCTTCTAAATTCGATCAAGGAGGGAAATCCATCACTGGATCACCGTTGGAAGACTGATCACCTGCCAACAACTCCGAGAAGAATCCTGTACAACTACATAACACCCTACTACAATCAACATTTCAACCGAGCAAATGGAAGCACCCGCAGTACCCGCCGTGTTGTTGTGAGTATTTAGAGTAATTAAATCGTTGTTCGTCTCCTATGGTATATTATATGACCATAGTATATATTATATAAGTGAAAAAATTATTCGTGTTAAATTAAATAAGAGAATTATTGAGAACTTTGAATTTTTCGTGTTAAATAAAAATAAATTGTGAGGGACTTTAAAAATTTTTTAAAATAAAATAAAATTGTTCAACCTTAGATTTAAATTAATAAAATAATTAAATAAAATAATAAAATAATAATTAAATAATAATTAAATAAACTGAAGTTTTAATTTAAAATAATTTTTTTTTAATTGTCTAATTAAATAATAATAAAAAATAAAAATATATTGTAACTTAAAAAAATCTTTAACACTTTTAATTAAATAATATTTAAATAAAATAATTTAATAGTTGTTTGAAATTTATTTTTTAAAATTAAATAACATTGAATAGAGTAATAATTTTATTTTTACAATAACGTCGCGAGTTAGCAAATTTTTAAATATAATAAATAATAATTTAATTTCGTAGAAATTTTTCAAACATTTAAATAAGTTAAAATAATAATTAAATTCTAAAATAAATTTCAATCATTCGAATAAAATAGGAAATATAATTTAATTTAAAAATAATTCTACAATCATTAAATAAATAAAATAACAATTTTAGTCATTTTAATCATTTAAATAAAATAAATAAAATTTTATTTTAAAATAATTTTCATTTAAATTAAATTAAATAATAGTTCTATTTAAAATAATTTCCAATCATTTAAATAAAATAATTTTAATTTTTCCTAAACGTTTTAATTAAAATAACTTAACAATTATTTGAAACTTAAATTAAATTTTTTTTAGTTAACTAAAACCATAAATTTGTTTTTAATTTTCTCTTTAAATAATTTCCATTAAAATAAAATAATAGTTATTCGAACTTGACTTAAATTAATAGTTAAATAAAATAATAGTTTATTTTAAAAGAAATATTCAATTAGTTAAATAAATAAATAAAATAAATACTCTAAATAAATTTCATTCAAACCAAATAAAAAAAAATAATTAAATTAAATAATATTTATTTAAATAATAAATGTTAATCCTTTAATTAAAATAAAATAAAAAATTTATTTATTAGGACTTTGAAAATTAAATAACCATTAAATAAAATAATAACTTTATTTAAAATAAATTTCAGTTACTTAAGTAAAATAGTTTAATAGCTGTTCGGAACATTGAATTAAATAATAACGTAATAATTTATTGGAAATAGAATAAAATTAAATATTTTAGCGAATATATATATTCGAACAACATTTTTATTTTTCAGGTTGAGTTAGTGATTGATTAATTATTAAATAAATATAAATACATAGTTAAAATTAAATTAGGTTGAACAATTCATAAATCTTGAGTAATATTTAATTGAAATAGATCGTGTAATATTATAATAAATTGGGAATTATTATAAAAAAATATTTTAATTATTTTAAGACAGTTGAGTCTTTATTGTTGAATATATTGAGAATTTATTGGGAATTTTTATTTAAAGGCCGGGAAGTAAGTCCTTATATTTTGTGAATTTTATTGAGACAATTGATGTCTGTATTTGAGAATTTTATTTAGAAGGCCGGGAAGTAAGTCCTTATATTTTGTGAATTTTATTGAGACAATTGATGTCTGTATTTGAGAATTTTATTTAGAAGGCCGAGAAGTAAGTCTTTATATTTTGTGAATTTTATTGAGACAATTGATGTATATATTTTATAATTTTATTTAACAGGCCGGAAGTAAGTCCTTGTATTTTGTGAATTATTTTAGACAATTGTTGTCTGTATTTGGGAAAATTTATTTTAAAGGCCGAGAAGTAAGTCCTTGTATTTGTTGAATTTATTTAAGACATTGATGTCTATGTTGATTTTATAGGCCGGAGGTAAGCCCTAAGTTTTTGTGAATTATTATGACAATTGAAGTCGAGTTATTGAATTATTGAATTTATATAGGCCGTGTGTAGTAAGTCCTTTTGTGTTATATTTTTCCGACAAGTGAAGTCGAGGTTTTATTGAATTTATTTACAGGCCGTGTGGTAAGTCCTGAGATTAGTGAAATTATTTGAAGACAGTGAGTCTATATTTTTGAATTTTATTTTTATAAGGCCGAAATAAGTCCTTACGTGTTGAAAAGAGTAGGTTGATAAAATTTTTTTTTTAATTCAATTAATACAGTTAGTAAGAGTTACTATTTAAGTATAGATGTCGTATGACTGGTTAGTTGAATTAATGTAAAAAAAATTTTTTTTGTTTAATAATAGGAATAATTATACTATTATTATTTAATTGTTAGATTAGTTATTTATTTATTTGATATTTTATTTAGGTAGATTTTAATTTACGAAATAATTATTTACGTAAGATTAATTTATTTTACGCTAGTGTGTCAATTAAATCTTAATTCTATATTTATTTTAAATCTGATTATTTAATTTTAATTACTTGATTATGACTATTGATTAATGAGTCAAAAAGAAACCAATACTAGTTTAACAGAAAGCGAAGCTGAAAGTATACAAGTAGTAGACCAGGAAGTTAGAAAAGTCGTATTAATTAAATCTGATATTATTAATAATAAGGATAGCGAATTAATTAAAGAAACAGCAGTAGTTGACGATAAGGAATTATTAATTGATTTAAGTACAGAAGAAGGTTATCAATATTCCAAAGATTTCGATAGGGAAAAATATTTAGAAGCTATTAGGGAAAAGGATTTATTGAATACAAGCATAAAACCGATAATAGTAAACGAAACTGAGCTGCGACAGATAGGTACTCGTACGCAGAAGGGGATAATACATACACAATTAGAACACGTTAAACGAATCAAGAAAACCAAAATGCCAGGGAAGATTCCATTAGATAAAGCCACCCTCATGATCCCTACATGTACCGGCGAACGGGACGTTTACCAATTCATAAAAGCTTGCGAATTAGCATGTTCGGCAGTAGAGAAAGAAGACCTACCTATTCTCACGAAATTTATTAATACCAAGTTGTTCGACCAAGCTTTAAATGTGTGTCGATATAGGGACATTAGTGATTGGGAAGGTATAAAATTAATTTTATTAGACGCTTTCGAACCTCAACAATCCACTTCTTCATTGCAGGTAGCATTAAATTCAGTACGTATGAGAGGTAACGAAGATGTAGGTGCATATGCTAGACGTGTAGAACAGCTATATTTCAATCTATGTGTAGCAAGTACAAAGGGTAAAAGTACAGAACAGGCAAATACAATCCGCGATCAGTTAAAGGAACAGACATTGGTAGTTTTTATAAAGGGGTTAATACCTAGCTTAAAGACTATCGTGAAATCTCAAAAACCACCCACTTTAGAATTAGCTATACAGGTTGCTAAGGATGAAGAAACTGAATTTAAGTCTGAGTCAGATGCATACCAATATTATAGAGGCAATAGTTCAGGTAGACAAGAAAACAACTCTAACGGGGATACCAGCAATTCTAATAGGCGGAATAATAATTTTAATAACACTAATCGTTATAATAATTATAATGCACCAAATAATAATAGACCTCAAAGTAATCAAAATCCAAATTTTAACAGACCTGATATAAATCACATTAATAGAAATAATTTCAACAATAATCAATATCAGCCTCGAAACAATAATAATTTTAATCGCAATAATGACGTAAAAAAGTATCACGAAAATCCTACTTGAGGATAATATTTGAGTAAGAATGTAAACAAAATAAAATATATACTGGTCAATAAACCATTGGAGATTTTAATTATTAAGTACTATTATAATTGTTAATAATCAAACATTACTATTAACCAACACTTTATTGTAATCAATA